AAAAAAAAAAAAAAAAAAAAAAAAAAATAGTGACCCTAACTACCAAGGCCAGCTCCAGCAGCCTTCGGAGCTGAAAGCCTCAGAGGAACTGACAGCATTCGGGGCTGCAGGCCTCGCGCCGACTCTGACCCACGTATTTAATTCTCTCTGAACAGGTGATTATTGTTAACAAACAGGTGTTCAGTGTTTTCTCATAGAACAAAAATAAACTAGGTACGCAGCTGATGCCTACTTACCACTGATCAAGGACAGACTAGAATGTATTCTCCACTAGGGAGCCGCGGGGGCAGGTCACATATCCCGCGCTTTAAGAATTGCTTTAACTGGTGTATGATAATACTGTTTTGCTACTTTATTTTTTTTTCTTTCCTTTTTTTTTTTTTGGGACGGAGTTTCGCTCTTGTTACCCAGGCTGGAGTGCAATGGCGCGATCTCGGCTCACCGCAACCTCCGCCTCCTGGGTTCAGGCAATTCTCCTGCCTCAACCTCCTGAGTAGCTGGGATTACAGGCACGCGCCACTATGCCCAGCTAATGTTTTGTATTTTTAGTAGAGACGGGGTTTCACCGTGTTGACCAGGATGGTCTCGATCTCTTGACCTCGTGATCCACCCGCCTCGGCCTCCCAAAGTGCTGGAATTACAGGCTTGAGCCACCGCGCCCGGCCCTTTTATTTTTTTTATTATTATTATTTTTTTAACTGTTTTGCTACTTTAGAATGGCGGGGGCGGTGGTGGCGGCGGCTAGGTTTTCCTTGCCATTGCTCTTAGCAAACAATAATCACTCAGCATTTCTCAACACCTAACGATAACGTTCTGATAGCCCACTACCATCGGACCAGCCACCTTTGTCTGATCTTCGTCTCTCCCTCTTTAGCTAACAGTGCGCACGGTCGGCACCAATAAATGCCCTATTTTTTTCCCCTGTATCTCCCAAGAAAAAAAGTAAATTTCGGATTGTGTTCCCCTTCCTAGCGCCAGAGAAAGGAATTACAACAAAGCCTTGCCGCTGAGCCGAGAGAGCGCGCGCACGTTCACTCTCCCAGCTCTTCCGTCCTCCGGGACGAGTGTCCTTTGCTCTTATCTACTGCTGGAGTTGCTAATAAAGCTTGATTCAAATACATGAGTTACCCGGTCCTGCGTTCCCCTTATGAGCTTCTTCCGCCCGCAACACGAAACTCAGCACCACTCAAGTACCGTGGCAAGGCCTGAAGGGCGGGACAGGAAGTGAGGTCACTCCTCCCCGGGGTGAAAGATTAGCGGAAGTGTTCTTCTTTCCTTTTTGCTGTAGGCCCGAGCGGGTGCTGCTGGTAAGTAGAAGCTTATGTTGAATCTTTCAATCCGCAGCCATCCGCGGCTTGGGGGTCGAGGGCCGGGGCGGCGCCGGGTGCGTTCTTTTCCTAGGTCTCTGGCGGCTGCGTAGCCGATACTGTCCTGCGAGGAGGGCCCGCGGGCGGCCTGGGCCAAGGTAACAGTGAACACAGTCTGAAATTCCGGCCCAAGACCTGGGCTTCCTGGCAGGAGTCGGCTCTGTGCGTCTTCGGCTTTACGGATTTTTAAACGGCCCTTTCTCCTTACTCTCTGCAGAAATGGGCAAGTTCATGAAACCTGGGAAGGTGGTGCTTGTCCTGGCTGGACGCTACTCTGGACGCAAAGCCGTCATCGTGAAGGTATCAGCCTCGCCGTCTCTGCGTCTTTGCATCCCCCCAGGCCGGCTGCGGCGGGGCGGACAGACTTGGAGTTCGAGGCTTGCTTCTGGGGCAGTAGCCACTGAGCACGGTGGGGGGAATGGTGAATGAAGGAGAGCTTTTGAGAGAGAAGAGCACAGCAAAAGCAAATGCCAGTAAAAGCAAATGTGAGGTGAACTGGGTTCCTAACGTATAACGCCTTCTCCACCAGAGGCTTTAAATATGGAGTAATAGTGTCTGACATTTACTGCATGCTTGCTAGGTGCTCCCACTGCCTTTTAGGTATTGTCATGTGCAATCCTTGATATAATCATAGGGTTTTTTTGTTTTTGTTTTTGTTTTTGAGATGGGGTCTGTCCAGGCTGGAGTCCAGTGGCGCCATTACTGCAGCCTCGACCCCCCGGGCTCAAGCGATCCTCCCATCTCAGCCTCCCAAGTAGCTGGGACTACAGGCGCGTGCCACCATGCCCATCTATAGGGGGATCCTTCCTGTTGCTAAGGTTTAGAGGTGTTCTGTTATCTGAGGTGCTTCAGTTGGGAATCTGTAAGAAGATGAGGAAGTTGCTTTTAGTCAGAACGGTCATGTAGGATATTGTAGCCCATCGCTGTTTTCCTCCTACTCATGTTTTTGTAGCTTCTTGAGAGGTTTCCCTCGGCTCTGGCAAAACACCACTGCGTTTTGCTGTTGTGGGGACACTGGAGTACCCCTGGTTTCCCCTCTCCCATCTACCCGAGACTGGCCTCTGAAGTGAGGCTCCAGTGTCTTAGCTTTGACTGTGCACTTTACTAGCAGTGGAGGAAGTGAATAGACATCAAGTCCCGTGAGCAGTGCTTGGCATATAGCCAGTACTTCTTAAATGTTAACTATTGTTACTTTTAAATCTCTTACTTCCAGTAAACCTTTCCAGGTGCTTCCTAGTGGAATAAACTGTTTTGTTTCTCTGTAGCCGTTTTGCATAGCTTTCTATGATTTTTCAAATCAAAGCCGTTTTTTTTTTTTTTTTTCTTTGAGACGGAGTTTCACTCTTGTTACCCAGGCTGGAGTGCAATGGCGCGATCTCGGCTCACTGCAACCTCAGCCTCCTGAGCAGCTGGGATTACAGGCACGCGCCACCATGCCCAGCTAATTTTTTGTATTTTTAGTAGAGACAGGGTTTCACCATGTTGGCCAGGATGGTCTCGATCTCGACCTCGTGATCCACCCGCCTCAGCCTCCCAAAGTGCTGGGATTACAGGCGTGAGCCACCGCACCCGGCAATTTTTCTTTTTATAATGATGGATCTTGAAGACCTGAGGGTGGGAATATTTTTTTGACACTGCCCTACCTCTAGCACAGGGCCTAAATAGACCCTCAGTGAATAACGTGTAATTCTTGTTCATTTAGAACATTGATGATGGCACCTCAGATCGCCCCTACAGCCATGCTTTGGTGGCTGGAATTGACCGCTATCCCCGCAAAGTGACAGCTGCCATGGGCAAGAAGAAGATCGCCAAGAGGTCAAAGATCAAGTCTTTTGTGAAAGTTTATAACTACAATCACCTGATGCCCACAAGGTGAGCATTTCAAGAACTAGAATTTTTTTTTTTTTTTTTTTTTTTTTTTGAGACGGAGTTTCACTCATGTTACCCAGACTGGAGTGCAATGGCGCGATCTTGGCTCACCGCAACCTCTGCCTCCTGGGTTCAGGCAATTCTCCTGCCTCAACCACCTGAGTAGCTGGGATTACAGGCACGCACCACCATGCCCAGCTAATGTTTTGTATTTTTAGTAGAGACGGGGTTTCACCATGTTGACCAGGATGGTCTCGATCTGTTGACCTCGTGATCCACCCGCCTCGGCCTCCCAAAGTGCTGGAATTACAGGCTTGAGCCACCGCGCCCGGCCAAGAACTAGAATTTTTTTTAATTTCTTCCTCTCACTCTGTTGAATAAGGAGACAAACGTTGCAGCCATTCTAACACCAGGAACTGACATCATTTTCAAATTCTTCGTCCTCAACTCATAAAGTGGCCATGGTTTCCAGTTTTGCCTTTCATCCATATCCTTTTCCCTTTTTTTGAGACTTACCCTGTCACCCAGGCTGTTTTGAGACAGAGTCTCACTCTATCACCCAGGCTGGAGTGCAGTGATGTGATTGTGGCTGACTGCAACCTGCAACCCCTGCCTCCTGGGTTCAAGTAATTCTGTGCCTCAGCCTCCCAAGTAGCTGGGATTACAGGCGCCTACCACCGCACCTGGCTAGTTTTTGTATTTTTAGTAGAGGCAGGTTTTGCCATGATGGCCAGGCTGGTTTCTAACTCCTGACCTTGGGTGATCTGTCCACTTTGGCCTTCCAAAGTGCTGGGATTGTCAGCCACATGGTGGCTGACAACTGTAATCCCAGTTATTCTGGAGGCTGAGGTGGGAGACTCGCTTGAGCTTAGGAGGCAGAGGCTGCAGTGAGAGATTATACCATTCATTGCACTTCAGCCTGGGTGACAGAGCAAGAGTCCATCTCAGAACATAGAAGGGCAGAAAGGGCTGTTTCTTGGGTGCTGGGATGGGGTGAGGTTGAGGCGGCTAGTTTTTGTGCGGTCACAAGAGTGACTGCATTGGCAGAACTTGAACAATAAGGAAGTGGTTTCAAGTAGAAAGTTAGCCGACTGCCGTAATGAAATTCAAAAAGGCCTGATTTGATGATTCTTAGCTAGAAAAGTAAAGGAGTGGGAATTAAGAATGAAACATTAGATTTTACATTTTGTTGACTTGAATCCAGTAAATGTTAAAAGTGTAGATTTCCAAATAATTTCATCAGGACATGACTTTTGATGATTGCTTCTCAGGAGGCAGACCCAGTTTCCCTAGTGTCCCACAAAGATTCGGGCTATGTGTAGGCCAATCCTCCCTCTCCTCTCCACCTTTGTCCCCAGGTACTCTGTGGACATCCCCTTGGACAAAACTGTCGTCAATAAGGATGTCTTCAGAGATCCTGCCCTTAAACGCAAGGCCCGACGAGAGGCCAAGGTCAAGTTTGAGGAGAGGTAAGTAGGCTTTGGCAGTGAATGGTTGAGTATGGTTTCACCATTTCCATTCCTTTCCTCATTCATGTCCCTTTTTTCCCTTCTAGATACAAGACAGGAAAGAACAAGTGGTTCTTCCAGAAGCTGCGGTTTTAGATGCTTTGTTTTGGTCATTAAAAAAGAAAAAGAAAAAAAGCCTGTGTCTGCCTGCTGTGTGTATTACCAGACTGGAAAAAGGAGAACATTATTGAATAAGAGACACTGGGTGATGGATGAGGGGCTAGGAAAATACAAAAGTTAAATCTGCCTTAATGAGATTTATACTGCCCTTGTCCTTAGCCTGATAATCCCTGTGAAGAATTGTGTAGCATGCCTGGCTTCTACCCATTACATGCCAGGAGAACCTCTGCCACACTGCCCCTCCTTGTGACAACCAGAAGTCCCTGAGTGGTAGCGATTGGGTATTTATGATTAAGAACCACTAACCCCGAGTTCTCAAACCTTAGCACAGATAGAGATTACCTGGATGGTTTATTAAACCACAGATGCTGAAATCCTGCCCTCAGACTGATCCAGTAGGTCTGAATGTTTCTAGCAAATTTTCAGGTGACTGGTACTAGTACAGGTGAGATGGGGACCACCAATGCCAGTGGTGAAGCCCTGAGCCTAGAGCAGCTGTTGAATAGGGCAAAGGAGTGCTCCTCAAATGGCCAGAGACTTGAAAGAAAGTGATCAAAGGGGCCTGGGCATTGGGTTGTGCCATTACTGTGTAGTAGAGACATTTGGCCCTTAGGATCTGGCATTTTACCTCAATGTATCAGTAGCCGTATGGATGAAATAGGTACTCCATCTGAATTGGTTCTGTTACTGGGGGGAACTAAGATTAAAACAGACCAGTTTGCCAAATCTGGGTACCACACTTGCCATTTGGGAACTGGAGGGATCAGGAGTGGCTGGAAGGGACCGAAAGTAGGATTGGTGAGTAAAGAAAAAACCTTGGACTAGGTTATTAAGAAACTTTTTTTTTGAGACGGAGTTTCACTCTTGTTTACCCAGGCTGGAGTGCAATGGCGCGATCTCGGCTCACCGCAACCTCCGCGTCCTGGGTTCAGGCAATTCTCCTGCCTCAGCCTCCTGAGTAGCTGGGATTACAGGGATGCGCCACCATGCCCAGCTAATGTTTTGTATTTTTAGTAGAGACGGGGTTTCACCATGTTGACCAGGATGGTCTCGATCTCTTGACCTCGTGATCCACCCTCCTCGGCCTCCGAAAGTGCTGGGATTACAGGCTTGAGCCACCGCGCCCGGCCGAAACTTTTTTTTTTTTAAAGAGAGTCTTGCTCTGTTGTCCAGGCTGGAGTGCAATGGTGTGATCTTGGCCAGTTTTCTGCCTCAGCCTCCCAGGTAGCTGGGATTACAGGTGCTGTCACCACATCCAACTAATTTTTGCATTTTTAGTAAAGATGAGGTTTCACCATCTTGGACAGGCTGGTTGTGAACTCCTGACCTCATGATCCATCCAATTCAGCCTCCCAAAGTGCTGGGATTACAGGTGTGAGCCATCGAGCCTGGCCAGGAAGCTTTTCTGAGATGGGAGTTTTCTTTCACCCACGCAGTCTGGAATGAAGTGGCACAATCTCTGCTCACCTCTGCCCCAGGGTTCAAGTGACTTTCCTAACAGTTCTCCCAAGTAGCTGGGATTATAGGTGCCTGGCTCATTTGTATTTTTTATTTTTTTGAGACAGTCTTGCTCTGTCGCCAGGCTGGAGTGCAGTGGAGTGATCCTGGCTCTCTGCAACTTCCCGTTTGGTTTCAAGCAATTCTCCTGTCTCAGCCTCCCGAGTTAGCTGGGACTACAGGCACCCACCACGTGCCCAGCTAATTTTTTTGTAGTTTTAGTAGAGACAAGGTTTCACCATGTTAGGATGGTCTCGATCTCTTGACCTCGTGGTCTGCCCACCTTGGCCTCCCAAAGTGCTGGGATTACAGGCGTGAGCCACCGCGGCCGGCCTAATTTGTATTTTTACTACAGATGGATTTTCACCATGTTGGTCAGGCTGGTCTTGAACTCCTGACCTCAGGTAATCCGCCCACCTTGGTCTCCCAAACTGCTAGGATTACAGATGTGAGCCACCATGCCTGGCCATTAGGACACTGTTGTGTTTTTTTATTTGTTTTTTTTTTTGAGACGGAGTCTCGCTCTGTAGCCAGGCTGGAGTGAAGTGGTACAATCTTGGCTCACTGCAATCTTCACCTCCTGGGTTCAAGTGATTCCCCTGCCTCAGCCTCCCAAGCAACTGGGACTACAGGTGCATGCCACCACACCCAGCTATTTTGTGTACATTAGTAGAAACAGGGCTTCACTATGTTGGCCAGGATAGTCTTGGTCTCCTGACCTCGTGATCTGCCTGCCTTGACCTCCCAAAGTGCTGGGATTACAGGTCTGAGCCACTGCACCCGGCTTTATTTTTATTGTTTTTTTTTTTTTTTTTTTTTTTTTTTT